GTTCTGCAGGTGGCCGGGGCTGAGCTTGCCGTCCCTGTCCAGCAGGCTGGAGGCCACCACGGTGGTTATGGCACTGGCACTCATGGCCAGGAGGGTGTTTAGGATGGCACGGTGCTGGGCATCACCCGGCTGGCAGAGGACAGCCACGAAGCTGGGCCAGAAAACCCAGAGGATGAGGGTCCCCACCAGGGACATGAGGTCAGAGCTGGTTGTCGGGGTCTCCTTGGGGTGCAGTGGCTGCTGTGTTGCCCAGAACAGAGTCTTGGACACACCAAGGCCGAAGTAGCAGGAGAAGACGTGGATGGTGATGGTGCCACCCACATCCTGAACGCCCAGGCAGGTGACAATGACCCACTCGGTGGCCAGGTACAGAGGGATCTCACAGGTGGCCATGAGGAGCAGCTGGCAGGGGCTGGCCCTCCCCAGGATGGCCCCCACGGAGATGAGCACCGTCACAGCAGCGAACACAGACAGGAGGAGTTTGTGCAGGTCCAGGTGGATCTGGCCGTGGTGGAAGTGGTGCAGCAGGCCCTGCAGCACCAGCGCCCACTGCATGGAGAAGTTGAGCAGGAGGAAGATGTGGGTGAGGGCGCTGAACCCATAGCGGGGCAGGAAGGTCAGCAGGAGTCCCAGCCCCACCACCAGCATCACCTGGATGTCCTGGAAGAAGGGGAAGGTGCTGTAGACCTGGTAGGCCACCAAGCTGGTATCCTCTGCCTGCGCCGAGGGCTCATCATAGGTGACGAAGAGGGCAAAGAAGAGGAGCAGGGCGCCCTGGAACAGCCCCAGGAAGAGGGGCAGGAGGCGACGGGGATGGGTGGAGGGTGGCACAGCCATCCTGGAGTGGACAGGAGGGGATGGTGGAAGGTGGTCAGCAGGGCACTGGGGTGAGGTGACAGCCCAGCAGTGCTTCTGGGGTGAGCTCCACTTGCTCCTACATCGAGGGTTTTATGGCCATGGTTAATTATTAACCAAAGATCTGAGTTTATGTTCCAGAAGAGGAGGGTTCTACCCCTCCCTTCTTTAAACACAACACCCATAAAATAACCACATGTTCTTGTTTGGCCGCCATAAAAGTGGACATGAGGGGCACTATGATTTTGAAGGGAAACAAGAAAAACCTGTGGTGGGGCAGAGGAGGGAGAAGGAGTTTGGTGAGGAGCTGGCCAGGGATGGGGGTACCATGGAACTCACCCCCATTGAACTTATCCCCATCCAGGAATGGGGACCTCCCTGCTGCAGCCCTGGAGTGGTGCTGGCAGCTCAGACAACGCCAGCTCCCGCTCTGGCTCTGCCACGTTCCACTCCAGGTTGGCTCCTGCACCTCATTCTGCAGGATGATGCACATTTTCCTTATCCACCACTTGGATTTTGCAAAGCCCCATAAAGCCCCAAATCCAGGGCTGCAAAGATCGTTTTCTCACAGGTTTGCATTGGCTTAAATGGCTGGATATTCATTAACAATTAGCGCGCGAGAAAAACAAAGCCCAGAGCAGCCAAGCAGCTACCCCGAAGTTTCTGGGTTGCTGCTTAGTGTGACATTTTGCCAGTGAATGTCTGGAAAAAAAGAAATTAAAAAAAAATATATGAGAACCACAAGAACAAAAGGCAGAAGGGTTGGTAAATATTTGTTCCAGAGAGGAGATATTTTTGTGCTGTCCCTGATCTCAACACCCCTGCCGCGGGCGCTGGCTCCGCGCCGCTCTTCGTCATTGTTACTGGAGGATGAGGCAGGCGAGGGCGCAAAATGGGAAACAATTGTTGAATAATCTGCACGAGGCTCCTCTGCCAAACCCTCCCCGGCCATTTTTCAACCCAAAGATGCTGGAAATGGGGGCAACAGAGAGGAGGAGGGGGCGCTTTGAAGGCAGTGCCTTTGACGGGTGAGATGGGGCTGTGTTGCGCCCAAGCCATGGTCAACAGCAACAGAGGGGTGGTGGGAGCTCTGGGGGTTTTGGGATGGGAGTTGGGATGCTTTGTTTGCCCCTAACATGTTCCTGCCGCATGGCTGGTGATGCTGATGGCAGTGGATGCTCCCATGGGGATCCCTCACCCAAGGGAATGTGGGGCTGGGGTCTTCATGGTGCCATTGGGATCTTTGCTATCCCTGAGGTGGCTGGGATGGGATGGGATGGGATGGGATGGGATGGGATGGGATGGGATGGGATGGGATGGGATGGCGTGAGTAGGCAGCATGCTCCCATTGCTCCTGCCTCTGCCTGCACATGGGCACAGCCTGACCCACCTCCCAAGGCTGGTGCCAGCTCCCAGCTTCACCAGGCAGTGCATGAAGGACAAAGGGATGCAGGAAAAGCCTCCTTGGTTGCTGGTATTAAAAAGGCAAAGAAAGGGGATTTCAGCCCCCACCGCCTCACCTGTGTCCCTTTGTACAGCCCACACCAGCCCATCAAGGGGATTCTCAAGGGGCCTGCTTGGTACAGTGAAACCTCTTTGGTTGATTGTGGGTGAGATTCAAACTCAGAGAGATGCTTGGAGCAGGTTGTGCTCCTGTGATGGAGGAGCTGGGCTGCTCTCACAGAGCTGAGGAAGCATTTTGGCTCTGGCTCAGCAGAGGTTGGGGTCTCTCAGGGTGGCTAGAGGTGGGTGCTGCCCTCTTGCTCCTCTCCTGCTCACCACAGCATCTCAGCCTTCCTCTTCCTGCTTTGGTATGCAGTTTTTTAAGGTGTGGTTAAATCAAATGCTAAAGGGAAAAGCTTTGATCAGGTCTTTTATGAAACACAGTGCTTGAAAGACTCCAAGGTTATGGCTCAGTGCCTCCTGCAAGGAGGAGGAGGAAGATGCCAGAGGGATGCATCCTTCTGGAGCATCCCAGCACTGTCAGATCTGCTGGAGAGGACAAAGAGCAGTTTGGGATGTAAATGCTCTCCTGGATCTGGCCATCATCTCTGGCAAGGACAGAGGCACAGGGCACCAGGAGGTTGGGGTCCCTCCCTGGACTCTGCCAGGTCAGGAGATCCTGGGGGCACAGGGGAAGCTCCTGTGAAGGGATTCAGTGCTTGGGGAGAGGGTGCTTGGGGAATTGCAGGGTCTACAGGATGTCCTTGGACACACAATCTTTTTCCACTTGGAAATCTTGCTCTGGCAGCATCTGGGCATTTGGGATATATGTCTGGGCTTCTGGGATCCACTGTGACCCACAGCCCCTCACATCTCTACCAGCAGCACCCTCAGCTTTGTCATATCCACAGGGCCAACAAACACCACATTCCTTTGATGAGCTGTTGGGTACCACAATCCCCTTCCCTTGGGAAAAGGCCATCCTGTGAGCCTTTCCACTTCCCAAACCAGACGAGGCACAAAAAGCAGTGATGCCCGAGTACTCCCCGGACCAAAGACCCCACAGCTGAGAAGGGGGAAACCCTGCTAGGTGGCAGATTAAAAAATAACCTTTATGGCACCCATAAAAGAAGGTCAGAATTCCAAGAGGTCGCTGGAAAGGTGAAAGTCCCCCCCAAGCCCTGGAGCACCCCTGAGGGCAGCGAATGATTAACCCCATAGTGCAGGGTGCGCTGCTGGGATGCCACGGCCCCTGTGGGGAGAAGGTTCAATCCCTCCAGTAACATTTTCAGGCACACCAAGTTTTCTCTTGGCACCGAAGGAGGGATGGAGGAAGCATCTGGCGAGGGCCTGGGCAGCAGGGAGGGAGGGGAGCATTGAATTCCACCCCCCACATCCCCCTTTCACTGGGGGGGGCAGTTGTTTTATGGCAGGAGGACTGGGGAACCATTTTAGCAGGATCCACGCTGGGACTGCTGGAGGAGTTCCCCGCTGAGGGCTGGATACAAAGAAAAGCTGAATTAACCGAGGGTCATATAAGGCAACAGGATCTGACAGATCCGAGCCAATATATGCTGGCAGCAGCCAGTCCATGGCACTGTGAGAAACACTCCTGCAAATTTAACAAATCCCCATGGTCTAGAAAGTCATGTACAAGAAATTACTAATGAAGGGATCTAGTCATATCTGGATTTCCAGACGTTGGTCATGCTCCCACCGCGTTCTGCAGGCCATATAAGTCCATGGATCTGAATCCCGGGTGCAGGAGCCCGGCAGGGTTGTTACGATCGTCCTGCCCGACCTCCTGCGTCAGACGAGGGCTCCCTCCCGGCCAGGAGGGGACACCGGGCGGTGGCAGCCGGATCCTGCCCCTGTGCCGGGCTGGGGTGGATGCACAGAGAAGCCTGACGGGGAGCAAGGCTTGGGAATGCTGCAGTGCCAGCGGAGGGGCTCCCATCACACTGCGGTGATGCGCTGACACCCAGGTGGCTGCTGGGCAGGAGGGAGCTCCAAACTCAGCCCTGCAGGGATGGGAGGAAACTGCTGACACCACCTCTGACCTGGGCATCACTCTTTAACCCCAGCTCCCTTCAGCCTGGAGCACCCCAAAATTCCCTGTTCTCTGAAGATCCTGCCAGAAACAGATCCCTGCTCCCTAAAGATCCTGCTGGATACCTGTGCAGCTCCGACTCTGTTCCATCCCCTCCGTGGCTCCTACAGCACCAACCCTCCTGCTGCCTTAACCGGGAATGCTTTGGGAGCTCCGGGCCAGCTGTGACCCCGGTGCCGCTGTCACAGGGGCGGGCAGGGGGCCAGCCCCCTCCTCGCCAGCCCCTCGCAGCCGGGTCCTGCCGGGTGGGGGGGACACAAAGCCCCACAGACGTCACCCCGGCATCACGCGGACCGAGTGGCCTTCTCCATCTTGTTAGCACATTGTGTAACACAACATGTGGAGGCGCTGGGACCGCACACGCATGCACTCCCCGACAGCCTAACCGGGGGGAAAAGAGGGAGGGGAAAACAAAAAAAAAATAAAAGAAAAAAAAATAAAAACCCAAGTCAAAAAAAAAAAAAAAAAGGAAGCAATTTAAGCTTTGAATCTTTCTCTTTAAAATGTTCTCATGGCTTCATTAGAATTTGCAGCCACAGAGGCTTTGAAGAACATGGTATAAGGAGTGAAACATCTGGAAAAATTAGGATTAATGAAAACATAATTCCCAAGACTAAAGGAAAGATTAATCCTGCGTTACCACTTGTGTGTTCCACAGCTTTTCCCCAGCTCGTAACACTGAACTTATTAAATCGCCCTGAGCTGAGTTTTCCTTTTCTCTCTCCCTCCCCTATGGAGCCCAATGGAAGCAGCTGATGCCAAATGTGAGGATAACCAAGCGTGCTGGCCAGGGCTGGTGTGAGCACACCCAGCCCTGTGCCCAGGTGGGCACCTCCTGCCCAGCATACCTGGGGGGTCCCTGGGTGCTGGGGGGGTCCAGTGGGTTTTGGGGTGCTTTGTTTTGGGCTGGTGGGTGCTGTGCCCCACTGGGGCTGCACCTGCTCCTGCCTGGGCAGGGCAGGCACTGACCAGCTCATGGGATGGGGGTGCTGGGGAATTACAGAGAAATTAATGAGCCCCCCTCCCTGCTGCTTGGCCAGCATCAGACTGAGGTGCTGGTGTCTCTGGGTGGTGTTTCTGTGAGAGCAAGGGCAGCCCTGGTGATGTGCCATGCTGTGCCACGCTGTGCCGTGCTGTGCCGTGCTGTGCCACTCTGTGCCATGCTTGCCATGCCACAGCACTCCGTACTGTGCTGTGTCATGTCATACCAAGCTGTGCCACACCATTCCATGCCATTCCATGCTGTGCCATGCCATGCTCTAGCACCACCCCTGCTCCAGGACCCAGGCTGTGACCAGGGGATTGGCACACGCCAGCCCTGTGCCAGCTGGCAGTGTCCAGCTTTGCCACCCTGGTGCTGGAGGGTGTTTGGGAGTCACATTGGCTGTGCCAGCCCTGTTCAAGCCCCCTGGACAGAGCTGCCCTGGGC